TCGTGTGTTTAGACAACACGGATTGCCTGTGGCAATCGTCTCGAATAGAGACCCCCGTTTCGCGGGTAAAATTTTGGACATCCGTCTTTAAAGTGCTTGGCACTCGACTGGACATGTCCACGGCAGATCATTTGCAGACCGTGGTCAGACTGAACGCGTCAACCGCGTTATTGGAGATATGCTTTGCAGTGTTTGTGCTGAAACACCCAAGCAGTGGAGCGCGATGCTCCCTCTGGTAGAGTTTGCGTTGAACAACGCGGTGCATGCCTCGACAGGCATCACCCCATTCTATGTGAATGGATTGGTTAACCCTCGCGTTCCTTTAATGCTATCCCTGCCAAATCAGGGCTTAGTGGGGGGATAGATAGCCGAAGGCTTGGCTGATAGCAGCCCTGCTGTGTCCCTTTTCGGGCCTTAACCACATCAGCCCGGAATAATCCGCCCTTTGCAGTGCACTCACAGAGTACACGTGCACTTTAGCAACTCGATTGCGCGCTGTGGATATGAATGATCCTTGATTTGCCAACATTCTCCTTGACATTCTCCTTGATTTGTCAACATAATCAACTATCGATGGATTGAATCGACACGACAAAAGGGAGGCATGATGTGCCAATGTAGTCGGCAAAGGGATCGTCCATATGTTGGTCTGCGTGGTGTGTCGTTTGACGACAGACTAACGAAGGCGCTTGGGCATTGGATGCATTGAGTATTGTTTGCGTCGGCACTGAACCCAACCAACAGCAACAAGAGATGCCAGTGAATGAAGACGTCTGCAGCGTTTTGCTGTGGGTGGAAAGGATAAGAATATTGTTATGTCAGCTGTGGGATTTGAACCCACGCGCTCGACAACATTACGGCCTGAACGTAACCCCTTTGAACAATATGCTGTTAAACATCAAGAACTTTATATTTAAGTCCATAAAGACTTTGGGTACCGTAACACGCGTAACAGTCGCTAAGCAAACTGTGACTGTGTCACTCTCACACGCTACAAGCGCTTCAGTATGCTGCTGACTACCTTCCACGGTGGCACGGCGCATATAATTTTCCGAGCCGCCTAATCGATCAAATGATCCATGGCTTATCATAGCCCTTAACCGTCCCTACGACGACTATCAAGACTGGCTTGCAACCTCGTTTCGTTTTTGAGAGTTCGGATCTCTTTGGGGCTGGGCCCTGTTTACTTCTACCTCCTAGAGATTCAACAGAACTCATTTCTTTCCCAGTAGTGCGCCTCGCGCCTATTGGGTTCCGACATTTCCCCGCGGCAAATCAGAAGTTTAACCATGGGTCGCCGGCCCTTTGAGGCCAAATATGCCTTCTTGCAGGGCATTTTGCCATCAAATGGCCTGTGCTCCTGTAGATATAACAGCTGTGCACACTTTGCCGCTCCGCAGCATGAAGCTCAGCTTCATCATTCATTCCACTGACTACAGTCCATGGAAATAGACCCATCCGAAGAGTAGTTTATTAGTGGCAGGCCTAGCGACCTTAAAGCTGGTCTTGGCATCCATTGCCACTCCAACAGCTTCCTCGAATGAGGACGGGTTTACCCGGAAGACTTCCGTTCTGGCAACGCCAACTCGGAGGCCCTCCATGAAGACCGTAACGGTCACTGCCTCAGGCATAGGGTCTATGACCATGGCAGCAATAAAAGTTCTAACTCATGTACATATGCCGCAAGCTCACGCTTGACTTGGCGACACGCCAAAACCGCGACCGGTTACGGTGTGCTTGGTTTGGCGGTGCATACTGCCGGGTCATCTGAACTTTCATATCGGACCATGTGGAAAATGCATCTTGCGATGATGCACCACATGTGAATGCCCACTGTTTGGCTAAGCCACCTAACTTGCTCGTGGCAAAGCCCACACGGTACGGTTCATAGGTGATATCAGCTATAAGCATAGACGTCTTAACCTGTTGGAACCAAAGCATAAAGTTGTCACCTTCTTGCCGTCAAACTTATCGACTTCCATTTGTATGGGTTTTGGTCTGCGGACCAATTCTTGCGCCATAGTCGCCATGGGTGAAGGCGCAGAAGAAGGCATCTGTGTCTTTACATGCTCGTCTAAAGCTTTTTTATATTCATCAAGCATATGAATACGCTTGTTAACCTCTTCTTCGCCCTGGGCGATGAGGTACTCCACGCCCATAGAGCCAAGGATAGGGAGCAGCTTCTGCAACCCTTCCTGTTGTGCCTGTGACAGACCAACCGATGACATCTCGTCGATGTCCATTCTCACACAGAGAAGTAGTCGCAAACCCAGGTGTGGGTTTGACTACAAGTGCTACCAGGTGTAGCCGGGATACTGTAGCTACGCTACTTATGCACTATGTGCAGAAGAAGTAGTCAGACTACTGTAGCAAAGCTACGTATACACCATGTGCAGAGGAAGACAAGATCAGAGAGCTTCTACGTTTTAGGGTGCTTAACCCTCCTAGGCTAGCTCGTAAGCTTGTGCCTATTGGTTGTTGCAACTGTGTTTCAAAGAGACTAGTATCAAAGATACAATTCTTATACGAAATGGAACGCACTAGCCCCACCCCCAACCGTCCGGGCACAAGCGAATGGCTGGGATCACAATAAAATTGCGATCGCGGCCTCTACCACACCCTTGTCATATTTGAGAATTTCTAATGTTCAGTCTGACTATAATGCGGCTGACCTCCTTATTCGTCCCGTGAGACCTGAAGATGTAAAAAAGCCATGCCAATGTAGAGCATCGCGTTAATACTAGATCGAGCTTGAGACCGACGTAGTGTAGCAATTATCCAAGATTTGATGAAGTGCTAGTACTTTTCTTGCGGTAATTGAATTAATTACGCTTGAGCGTACGGCTAGATAAAGTACACTTTATCATGGTATGGAGTAGAGTGGCCGATACCCCAAATTACTGGCGTGTGCATTTATCATCAAAAGCCGATCGGAATTGAAATGTTTTAAAAATTGAAGTTAAAGCGATCTTGCCTTTAGCAAGGTAAACGCTATCGTTTATTCCTCTCATCTATTCCTTTCTACGGCACCTTGATCGCCTCAACTGCGATGCTGATCGCAAGTATATTCATCCGTTGAATCTCGATCGCAAATGTATTCATCTTCTGAACATGATCGCGTCGTACTCTAATTCTGACTTGGGTTCGCGATCGGCTTGGATATTTAAAGTGGACATCCGCACATCACTAGCACAATTGATGTCGTGGTAATTCTCCCTCGTACCTTGTAGAGACCAGATGCATAGAAAGTGAAGTCGTATATTAATTGACAATAATAATTCAGACTTCCCAAGAACGACTGCATCGATTGCTACGTCAGAGAAAACGGAAAAAAATTGCGAGCGATCCCAGATTTATAGGATAAGCTACCAGCCCATTAAGGAATACCTGATGATCCCTCTAATCCACATTAAGACATCTACAAGACGTAGATAGACTGATCAATAAATTTACTGACCGCACGCTCTTAAAAACTAATTGACGTTCTTATATAGAGATTTCCACGATGTTGCAGGCTTCAATTTATTGTCATAAAACGACCTTCTGCCTAACCGATGGCCTTTGGTCGGTATGTGGTTCACCTTCAGTGAACACATCGATCAGCATTGGTAATCCTGCAGCGATCGTATCAGGATTGGTTGTAATATTAAAAATATGCGCACAAAGCTTTGCCAATCAAACCTTGGAGAATGTGTGGATCACTTTTTGATCAAAATCTCATTCGTTAATCATTCAAACAATCTCGGTAGCGTAATGTATGTGAAATTATTCTCGCTCGCCCGTCAATTCAACCACCCAAAACCCACTCGCCATATTTACGAACAGTACCCCATCGTTCGATCTATAACTTGCAACAGCTCGCTGATACAGCGGTATGGAGTAAACAATCAATATTGTCAGTTAGTTTACCCTTACGCAATCGATACACAATTAAGTGTCACCTCCATTTGTCTTAATGAACACAGCAATGAGTGGTGCCCATGGAATTGGCGATGGCCAATTTATCTGAGCCGGCAGTATCCTTTCGATCAAGCCGGCTAATTTCTCGAGAATGTTGGGTGCGAATGGTCTCCCACACTGCGCGATCAGACTTGCACCATCCAGATCAATGTATCAAACCTCACCACGTGTTATAGATGGTTCTATCTGCGGTCAAAAATCGGCCGCAATTTCTCTGGATCATCAGTCAAGGTTACACCTGGTTTACCAAATTTATACCGTCGATCAATACTTCAACTGTAGGCGTAACAGCTTCCAGTAAGGCTTTCATACACTAAAACAATTCTGAGCAAGCATGTTGCCACTTCCTAGTATTATACTGGCTCTTCTTGTGCCAAAGCGTTTCAAATTGGGATATAACAGACTCGAGTCACCGGCCGATCGGATAATTCCTGTAGCGATCGGCTTCCCTTAGATCATTTTTCTTGCAGAGTTGCTTTGGAGGATTACTTCTTCTGAAAGGATCTATACCCGATTGACACCTTGTCGGGGTCATTCTTTCCCGATCGGCTATGTTGCAAAATCACTGACTACATCTTTATATCGGGATTGGTCGTGCGAGGTTACGATCAGGCACCCAATCGACTTTTCTTCTGGAGAGCATAGTTCTGACAAACTCTAATATTTACTTCTCCATTGTCATTTTGAAGTAATAGTGTATTTGTCCTAATCCCGTTGGATTTGCGTCATTATCATTCGATCCCTAAAACGATCGTGTCTCAGCCTAGATCGGTGCTCAGTTTTTTTAATATAACACGGGACAAAGTGCAATTTTTTGAAGAAAGGCCTTGTCAATTTTGACTGACATTTTGTAGCAATTATCGACAGATACTCGTCGAGAGATTTGTAATAATATGTATTCACATAGGGTATGATTCGCTGGCAATGTCAAAAAGAAGCGAGCTCAATAATATGCGCGAGACGTCAAAAGTCATCAATACAAAACACTGTGCAGGAATTTTAAGACCCATATAATTCAATTATACGCAAGTTCTTTTCCCTTATTGTACAACGTGTTCATCATTATTACAAGACTTTTTGTCCAATCCAGACGAGGGGGAAATAGGAAGGCGATGCGAAACATTCGTGTTGTCCCGCACCACATAATTCGTCATGTACTCAATAAATCTGTTGCCGTAAAATTCCGGCGCCACGGCTGAAATGTACTTGCGATTGTGTCGCAAACCCTTGAAAAATGTTTCAGCAATCTTGCGCGTATTGTACTGCTGTAAAATGTCAATGATGCCCAAAAAGTAAACAAAACCATTCTTCTGGCCGTTTTGGTCACGACCACAAATACCACCGTCCTCCTTGCAAAAAACTGACTGCGAATACTCGACATATGCTCCTGTGTCCAAAAGACGGGGAGAAAGAGGTACAATAATGGATGCATCTCGTGGCGTGGATGAAGATGATCCATAGGAGCTGTACGTTGCCGACGAAGAGTACTCTTCAAACGCAGCACCAAAGCTGCGACTCACCTCGCTTTCACTGCTCGTCAAATCGTTCAGCTCAAAATTGCTATCTGTGTCTCCTTTTAAATCTGTACCGCAATCGCTCCACGTGGGAGTGTTTGGTGGCGACAGTGCGAGTCGCGTGTCTTTTTTTGCGATTGCACGTCGCATCAATGGCGGATGAAGCTGGATACTATCTAAAGGCATAGATGCCGAGTGATGCGGTCGTATCTTCGGCACATCCACAAAACCAAAGTGTGAGATCGCAAGTGAAGTGGGTAATGACGTGCAGCTATCTTGCGACATTAAGCTTTCATGGCCGTTATTGCTCATTGAGACGCTGGTGTACAAATTATCACGCAGCCTGCAAGCAGAGTCATGAACACCAACGAGCAAACTGTAGTCCATAATCTTCATTCTTTTCAAAAATTCGACATCTTTGCGAAGCTGAGCCAGAAAAATGGCACGTTGAGCAGCGCCCATTTGGAGATGAAAGCCTTTGTCTAGCAAATCATTGTCCTTCAAAACGCCTGCACTTCCTCGCTCGTGCTCCTTTACTGATGCATGCCGTCCAATGCGTGAGCCTTTCAAGTCATATCGTGCGTGAATCTCTAAAGGCGTATCAAAAACGCTGGCCATAATGACAAAGTGCATTTTCCTTCGCAAATAATGCATCTTCACGCGATGCATGCCATAGAATCGTGTCATAAGAGTGTTAGGGTTCTCCATCACAAACTTATAGTAGTGCGGTAAAATACGACGAAGAAATTTGAACTCGTCCTTCGTCTGTGTTTTAATCATAAAACGTCCATCGTGTGAGTAAAAGAAGAACTGACCCGACTTGGAGTTCGACATGAACTCAATAAAATTAAAATCTCCACTAAGAGTGAGCATATAGTCTGCCAAGTCTATGCCAAAATGGCGGCGCACTTGACGGAACACGTCAGGTGAGTAGTCTTTGAACTTAAATGGGTGTCGAAGCTGAGCGTTAGCGGGAAAGATCTTCTTGTCAACCAGCATGAAGTCATCCATTGTCAGCCGCTGTTTAAACGGTGTCTGTAGTCCAGCCGAGTCTCGAATACCACACATCATACCGTATGTGAGCGCGTACTTATCATGCTGAAGGTTAATTACATTACCAGCGGGAGCCCTGAAGCTGCGTTCGGATCGTTTAAATCGGTTGTGACCAAGCTTCGTCTTCCTGATCGCCATTTGCGAGTCCAGCAGCAACAGATCTGCCTTTTTCTTAGCTTTCAACGCCAATAAACCTTGTTCAGCTTCAGCAACAGAATTCTCAGTTGTCAAATTCAAATCCAGTTTTGCCGATGTCAGCGTGGACGCGGAAAAGAATCTCAATGTAATCATTAAATTGCTACTTTCCACTACATCGCTTTCAATCACAGTAAGTGATGCCGGGCGGCTGCTTTGTGGCGATAGAGATCCTCGGCGATCGGGAGGAAGCGGCGTAATCTTGATCGCAGCCAACTTAGGCGAAGTATCTTGAATATTGTCGTCGAGCTTGCATCGAACGGGAATAATGACCCGGTTGACCATGGCGTCAATTTGCTTTAAATGTAAGATTCTCAAATGGTGTCATATTAAGTTCGAGCAGAAAAGAAGCAGCGATGTGATTGCTGGCTACGAATCCATCGGTCGAGGACGACGTTGAAGCCAGCTTCACATCAACGGTAGTCACCGGACAACCCATACTTGTCTTGAGCTTCTATTTTATGCATCCTACTTTTAGCAAATGCAGTAAAATCCATCAATAGATTTATATAGCAGCAACAAGAATAGCTTTTTTTGGTGCGAATAAGAACAATATCAATTTCAATATACCTTAATTCACTTGAAATGATTTCAACGACTTGATGAAGCAAGACTGCAACTGTCACGATCTGATACGATCAACTACATTCTTTAATAGTTTTCGGGTTTGAAAAGACGCAATGAGAAAGCGCATGGAAGCATTGTAGTAACTGACGTTGGTGGTTTAAGTAGCATCAACTTTGCATCAGATTTGTTGTTGCTACGTATCTGCAAAAGTTCTGGCGAATTAACGTCGCGGCCAATCGTGTGGGCAATTAAGGTTAAGGCTTATGTATAAAGATTATTGCTGTCTACATAGTCGCAGTCTGGGAATAGTAGCCTGGAGACATTTATAGTATCGAACGACCTGCGCGACACCATGCCTTTTTGATGACATTTACGCAGCTATTGCGATTATAGGCTTCATACAAGAGATCGTGGCGTGGTTGACATCTTGTGATAATGACATGTTATATGTAAGCTAGTAATGTCAAATTTTATGTGGTCAATGTTTTATACCAGAGCGACAATAAGATGATGCATTCACAAGACTTGCTGCTGTGCTGCAAGAGCTTTTTTTAGGAAGGTTTACACAACAAGCTAAGCTTAGCTGCATAAGGCAACATAGATTGTTCACTAAGTAGAGTGGGTATAATAGATCAATTGCGCGCTCAAATTTTTGGAAATTGCATTACCACAAGTTTGATGACAATGCTGCATTGTATGGCATAGTCTACTCTTTCCGTCGCTCCGAGCTGCCACCAAACTTAATTTTTAGGCAGAAAAGCTACATCTTGTTGCGATACATGAGCCCCATGCTTTGGCTTTTATTCTGATCATCTACAAAGCCGACCACTATAGCTTGCAATATGTTTTGCACATGATACTGAGCTTAGTTGTTAGTAGGGATCGAGTGCCCAACTCTTGTTGGTTTTGGAATATATAGATTTAGCAATAGCGCATTCTGCAATTTTATGCTTTATGGTAGCCTTTATATTGTTGCCGTCATAAACAAACGTCACGCAGTGGAATGTAACCTTTTGAATATTTCTTTTACGCTAGTGCTATAAGCAAGTCTTGGTAGCCATTACAATTGTCTGCTATCGTCAAGTATGTGCATAGTTCGTGTTGCAAGCGTATGGTTGCATGGTCTGCAGTGGTGGTCATAAATATCAAGGACACTATTGTTCGCAAAGACGGCATATATAATTCATTCAAGCTGTCATGCTTGGTGCAGGTAATTATAAAGTGACAAGTGCTCCTTGTCGTATTTTACGGAGTCTGGACAAGGTGTCGTCTCAAAACTATAGCTTAAATCAAAACACAACCTGCTTCCTAAAAAGCTTAAAGCTATTCTGAAACGGTGTTACGCCATAACTCATTGAAAGAAATATTAAATCATACGTGATGGAAAGGGGTTGTGGAATTTAGGGCTTCTTCCGCAGCACCAAAGCCTTTCTCGCTTCAACAGCCTCATTCTTTTGCGCACGCTTTCAAAGTTGAGATATTAATTGCCACATGATGCTTGTTAAACAACTTCTTTCTGTGCTATAAACCATTCCACGCTCCATATCTCTCTCTTGGTCTTTCTCTCAGCTTTGCCTGGTGCTAACATTGACAGCAGCAAGGGAAAACAAATTATTACCTACGAATGCTCCTTACTTCCGAGCCTTTTGATCTTGAGCCTCCTTTCTCTATGTGCTCCGCCTAAAGAGCTCAGAAGCCTGTGGCGCCATACTGTCAATTCTTTAAGTCCGAAAGCTTATACATAGAGCGTAAGCTTTATCAAAACCGTGCTGTGATCTAGGAAAAACTTTGCTTCGCTCCCTTCTGCTGCAGGACAACGCACCAATTGTGATTGAAAGAGGACGGGCAAGACCTAAGTCGCCCGCGACTGCTTCCTACTGATTACTTACACCAGTACTCGATTTACTAACTTTGATGTGCGGTACAGGAAAAATTTATTTGAATACAGCCAACAAAAAAAAGAGATATATTAATTAATATCTGTAATTTTTTGTAATTGATCTAAATTATTTGAAAAACAAATAGTTTTGTTAGCATATTATTATTTATTGTGAAAACCTGCCGGTAAGCGCCAGAGATAGACTGATGCTTGAAAACTCTAAGCTCTAGGAACTACCGACTCTATAACCGAATGTTAAGCGGTCAATGGCCCACGAGATATACCCCATAAAAAGGCTTTGCTCTTTATATCAAAAACGCAAACCAAACCTTATAATTTCTTGCGGCCATCACTAATTGGCCAACATGAAAGCATAATTAGAGTCCAATAGATTTATGTGATATAAGCGACAACAGACAGTTACGTCACCATTCTATAACGTGTGTCCATTGTGTACTTCTTGCTTACGTGTCCCTAAACACCACAACGTAACGTATAAACTCGTAACACCTCCCTGTAGCAGAGCTACCGTAGTAAAGATACTTATGTACTAAATGCAGAGAAAAACAAGCTCATATAGCTTAACCTCTTGCGGTTTTAAACCTCCTAAGGCTTTCTTAACCAGCTCGTGCCGTTGAGCTATAAATACCACGTTTCCAAGAGACCTTTCGCTTTTAAAAGCCTGAAGGAGTGGCGTTAAACGCTGAGCTCAACTTCGAGTCGGCTCGACTTCGTTAAAATGGGTACAAATCTAGCTCTTCGACCTCTTTGGCCCCGTTCAACAATCCTGTTATAATGGACCTCAATTACGCAATAAAAAGCAAAGAAAAGCTTAATGCTACTAAGCAGTACCAGGGCATCCATCAATACTTTACATGTAGACATACTAAGCATCAACGGCGAGGATGCACATAACACAAGCAGCATCAGTCTCCTTTGAACAGTAACCCATTGACTAATACGACGCCAGAAAATAACAGATCAAGTTACGGTGATACAATCAGTTGGCATAAGCACTTCCCAAATGTGCGCTTCGTGGTTTATCGGCGAAACACGCCAACCTTGAGTAACATCTTATATTGCCGTACAAAACCCAACTCGGCATGTGTATGTAGATGCTTTTGCGTCGTCTTCAGTATTTTTAGTCGTTTGCGCTGCAATTTCAGGTTCATTTCGTTGCGTGTGTGGCTTATGCTATTGATGTTTGTGCCATCATGTTTTGCTTACTACGGAGAATGATGAGACAAAAGGATCAAAGAAACCACTCGACCGTATTGCGGAGCAGATGATTTGATCTCTGTATCACTTGCGAAGGTGTCGCGTGCTTGAGGTATCTCTTTGACACCATATACACGTGGAATCAACTAGATAGTACATAGTTCTGCTTGCAGGTCTGTGTGTGTGAATGTAACGGGCTGCTGGCTGTTTCTAAAAAGTAAACAAGATGTTGTTCGGTAGAGCAGGTTATTGGTCATTCTGGCGATGTAGCTCAAATGGTAGAGCGCTCACTTAGCATGCAGTAGGTACAGGGATCGATACTCTGCTTCTCCAGTGTGACCATGTTACGGTGATACAAACAGTTGGCATAAGCACTTCCCAAATGTGCGCTTCGTGGTTCATCTGCGAAACACGCCAACCTTGAGTAACATCTTATATTGCCGTACAAAACCCAACTCGGCATGTGTATGTAGATGCTTTTGCGTCGTCTTCAGTATTTTTGGTCGTTTGCGCTGCAACCTCAGGTTCCTTTCGTTGCGTGTGTGGCTTATGCTATTGATGTTTGTGCCATCATGTTTTGCTTACTACGGAGAATGATGAGACAAAAGGATCAAAGAAACCACTCGACCGTATTGCGGAGCAGATGATTTGATCTCTGTATCACTTGCGAAGGTGTCGCGTGCTTGAGGTATCTCTTTGACACCATATACACGTGGAATCAACTAGATAGTACATAGTTCTGCTTGCAGGTCTGTGTGTGTGTGAATGTAACGGGCTGCTGGCTGTTTCTAAAAAGTAAACAAGATGTTGTTCGGTAGAGCAGGTTATTGGTCATTCTGGCGATGTAGCTCAAATGGTAGAGCGCTCGATTAGCATGCGGGAGGTAAAGGATCAAAGAAACCACTCGACCGTATTGCGGAGCAGATGATTTGATCTCTGTATCACTTGCAAAGGTGTCACGTGCTTGAGGTATCTCTTTGACACCATATACACGTGAAATCAACTAGATAGTACATAGTTCTGCTTGCAGGTCTGTGTGTGTGAATGTAACGGGCTGCTGGCTGTTTCTAAAAAGTAAACAAGATGTTGTTCGGTAGAGCAGGTTATTGGTCATTCTGGCGATGTAGCTCAAATGGTAGAGCGCTCGATTAGCATGCGGGAGGTAAAGGATCAAAGAAACCACTCGACCGTATTGCGGAGCAGATGATTTGATCTCTGTATCACTTGCGAAGGTGTCACGTGCTTGAGGTATCTCTTTGACACCATATACACGTGAAATCAACTAGATAGTACATAGTTCTGCTTGCAGGTCTGTGTGTGTGGAATGTAACGGGCTGCTGGCTGTTTCTAAAAAAGTAAACAAGATGTTGTTCGGTAGAGCAGGTTATTGGTCATTCTGGCGATGTAGCTCAAATGGTAGAGCGCTCACTTAGCATGCAGTAGGTACAGGGATCGATACTCTGCTTCTCCAGTGTGACCATGTTACGGTGATACAAACAGTTGGCATAAGCACTTCCCAAATGTGCGCTTCGTGGTTCATCTGCGAAACACGCCAACCTTGAGTAACATCTTATATTGCCGTACAAAACCCAACTCGGCATGTGTATGTAGATGCTTTTGC